ACCGAGTCTAGGGTCTAGGGTCTAGGGTCAGTCTCCAGGCATCTCAAGACCCGGCCTTTCTCTCCACGCCTTAGATCTCTAAGAGTACCAATCTTGTCGTTGTCAGTTCTTGAACTTTCACTCTCAGGACTCCAGCTTTGGAGGCCACCCGAAACCAACCGACGAAAATTGCGCTGACCTCATCATGGTCTGCATGAGTGCACCTGTCCCGTGGTGCAGGTTTGGGCCCCCCCTTGTGTTTGAGTAATCTCAGGCCCCTTGATGATTGTCATCTCCCACTTTGGCAGACATCGAAAGAATGATGATGTAGAATGCTGAGTGCAGCGCTCTCGATTTGACCTGTCAACTGTCAAGCAAGGACTCGTTACAGTTAGGTGTTCCCCGAGTGACTGATGTTGAGTTAAGATCTTGGAAATCGCTGCACCTGTAGTAACAAGAGGACGCTACTAGTAGCATCCTTGCTCCTAGTAGCGATGGCCTCCAACCTACTTGCGATGGCCTCCACCTAATAGCGTCCAAAGACTACGATGTTTCTCTGCTTTTGTCAAACATGTTCCAAACTCTCCAAGAACGAACCGGCTGGTCCTTCATCCTCTTCATCATCGCTTGCAGTTGATACCTCAATGCCACAAAGGGAACCCCACGATATCGCACGATCGTACTCCGCACAGGGTCTCGCGTCTCCAGTCTGAGAGCCCAACAGAGTAACATACTCGCTGCTAGGAACAAGGACGCTACTAGGAGCAAAGGGCACCGCTACTAGGAACCCTGGCTCATTCTCGAGCTCCAGCTCCATTCGCCTTTGCATCTCCTCCAGGCGTGCCTTGCGCAAGTGCCGAAAGGGTTTCGGTCTTTGTGCAGAAGCACGGCAACAAAGAACTAGTACGTTGGAGGCCATCGCTAGTAGTAGGTTGGAACACGACGATAAAGAACTATAGACTGTAAGACTGTAAGAGAGAGAGAGAGAGTGAGAGAAGAAAAAGAAAGAAAGAAAACAGAACTTTAAACTTTCAAAAACACGCAAGAAGCTACTAGGAACAAGTGCATCGCTACTAGTAACAAGTGCCTTACTAGTAGTAACAAGAAGCTAGTAGTAATTAAGTTCAGCAAAGGAAACCTGTTCTTGTTGACAGTGAGGGGTTGGCTTGGTGACGGGAAGCTCAGTCCAAGACTCAAAAGATTGTTACAAATGTTTTTTAGTCATTGAATTAATGTTGAAGACAAAAAGGGAGAGAGAAAAGAAAGGAGAGAAGAGGGAAAAAGAAAGGAAAAAGGGAAGATTCCGGGAAGATCCTTTAAATACAATGATGTTGAATTCATTAAATGCCCTAAACCTCCTTGTGGGATGAGTTATGGCTGAATTGATTGCACTCTTACTTTATGTATGATATGTTCTGTGCTGTGAAGATGTTATATTGAATGAAGATTCTTGCGGCTATTCAAGACCCATTCCATGGTCATGAAGTCATGAAGCCAATTACCTGACGAGTATGACTTCCAGATTGGAGTAGGAGCCAGGGACCTAGACTAAAACGGGGTGCAGGGCCTTGCAGGGGGAAGGCAGGAGCAATGTATGTCCTTGTTACTAGTAGTAAGGCACTTGTTACTAGAAGTGATGCACTTGTTCCTAGTAGCTTCTTGTTACTAGTAAAGATTAAGAAAGGAACGTTGTAAGACTCATACACAAGCTGAAAAAGTGCCAAAGTTTGATTGCCAGGTCGCCTCAGCGTTCTGGTGCTGCCGACGCAAACCTCGCGACAAGGCACCGTGCCATTGTTTAGCTCAATCAGTTTCAGCTGTGGCAGCATCTTCAAAGGACGCTACTAGGGGCTCCTGGCATCGCTACTAGGAGCAAGAAGCTACTAGGAACCCGGGCATCGCTACTAGGAACAAGGACGCTACTGGGAGCAAAGTAAGTGTCTTCAATTCTTCTCAACTTATCTTCGGTCCTTACTACTTGGACCTCGCTTTAGGGACTTGGACGTCGCTGACCTTAACAATCCTTGAGACTTTTTCATCGTTAGCTGTGTGCGTTTTGCTTCGGTGTCGTGGATGGTGCATGAGACAATCCAAAAGGCTACAGGACCTAAAAAGCACAACAGGCAACAACTACATGGCCTTATATCGTTCTTGTTCAAAAGGAAAGGTAAGATGACGATCCACCTTTTAAGAACAAGAAGCTACCAGGGGCTCCTGGCATCACTACTAGGAACGAGGACGCTTACTAGGGGCTCTTGGCCTTACTACTAGGAGCAAGGACGCTGCTTTTGATCATTGTTAATATGTCTACACCAAACTCGGTGACGGCCTCGGTTTTCCTCTGTCACCGCTCGAAGGCAGGCTTGAAGACTGGATTGTTCCACCTCACATGGCTCAAACAAGCGGTGGTGAAACCTGCTCACTCCATTGAAGGCCATCGCTACTAGGAGCAAGGACGCTACTAGGGGCTCCTGGCCGTACAACTAGGAGCAAGAAGCTACTAAGAACAAGAAGCTACTAGGTTGGAGGCCACTGCTATTGAGTTGGAGGCCCTCTCTTCAAATCAGGCTCTGGCCCGAGTGGATTTCCTCTCGCCTCCTGCATCAAACTCTGTGAGTGTCCCTACCGAGTAGTGAAAGCGTGCTTGTGAGCGCCGAGGCTTTGTAGAGAAGGAATGAAAGTCAAACAAAACGTCTCCAAAGGGCAGAAGAAAGGATGGAGAAATCATAAATGGAGGCCATCCCTATTAGGTTGGAGGCAATCTTGCTGTTTGTAGTCAGTCAGTCGCCAAGACCTGATGCAAGCAGCATGACTATCATAGTAGCATAGCAGCATGGTTGGCTTCCACATGATTGAGATTTGCTCATCACTTGTCACCCCTGCAGTTCCCTCTTCAAGCATGCACTGCATGCCTCCTCTTCATTGCTTCGTCATTTACGGCGTTATACGGCCTTTTAGCTTTTACTCCAGAGGGGAGTGGGTTCCGACTGAAAGAAACCGGCAGATGTGCACCAGATCTTGGCCGAGAAGGTTCAGCTGCACTCACGGAATTTGCCATCTCAGGGAAACGTTGTCTATTTTTGCTTGGTTTTAATACATGTAAACACAAATAAGTGCGTGGCACCTGTTACTACTAGTAAGGCACTTGTTTCTAGTAGCTTCTTGTTTCTACTAGTAAGGCACCTGTTACTACTAGCGTACACAAATAATAGCGATGGACCCCAACCTAACCGCATCTTAGGAAAGTGTCTTCTCAGCGACAGTTCCTTAAACTACTCGTATACTACTCGCCTATGTCACACCTGGCTACTCTCACCGATGAACAAAGCTTCCTTCTGACGGCCAGCCAGAAACCCATCGGCCGACATGCAACAGTGAGCTCTCAGCGCAAGACCTCGCCCGGCCCAAGCCATTGCACTTGGAAACAAGTGGAACGAGTGTTACATATAAAAAGTGCAGCCCCATTCTCAGTCCATCAGGCAAATTTCCTACTTCCAAAGTACCCTGCTCGTGCCTTGCATGTGCGCCCTCTACCAACAAGGAGCAAACACGTGTGCGTTTAGATATGTTTAGATGCTCACACTGCCCCAAGTTGTTTGCTCACTTCATATTAGTTCACAAATGCCTGGAGTGGTCAGCCCAAGAGGGCAAGCAGTCTTCGAAGGCAAGAGGCGTGACCGAGCATTTCACAACACGGGTTGATTTCATTTGCAGTTGTTGCCAACTCTTCATTTCTAGGAGCAAGGACGCTACTAGGGGCTCCTGGCCGTACTACTAGGAGCAAGGACGCTACTTTCTAGTAACAAGAAGCTACTGGTAACAAGGGCATTACTACTAGGAGCAAATAGCTACTAGGTTGGAGGCCATCGCTAGTTGGTTGGAGGTCGCCACACTGTGCTCGCAAATGTCTTGGCTCAGGGGTCCAGGTCGACCATGACGACACTGGGTGAGCCGCCACGGATACAGTTGTTTCAGCCCTTGGACAGTAGGGCGTCTTGTGGTGTTGACGGTGCTCTTGCGCGTTGGGGCCTTCTTTCGATCATGCTGTTGCCGGTCTACAGTTACAGCGGAAACCTTCATTTTTGTTTGCATCCTCGATGTTCAGTCCCTACCAAGAGGTGCGCTGGTACAGTGTTGTCACATGTTGTCACCTTCCCAGTGCACTTTGCCAAGTGACACCAGCATCTTGAGCCGGTTCACATTTTAGGGTCCCAGCTCCACCCAATTAGTTCACCAGGCAGGCCTCCATTAGCAAAGTCTGATGACAAATTATTCAAATTGGAGGCCATTAGTTTTTGATAGGTTTTCTTTTCACAACTATCCAAAGCGTTGTATTTGCAAGCGGGCCTCCAGGCACAGAGGGCAAGGAAGATGACGCATACAAGACTTCAAGAGTTCTGTGCTAGTAAAACATTCGAAAACAGGGAGGTCCGCTTACACATAAGTAGTTACTTTGAATCTCTTAACGCCTATGCAATGGTCCACAATGTAGTTCTGCGTGGCAAGGAGAGACTATATTGTGAGTCTCAAGATCCTTTATTGCAATCCGCAATTGAAATGCAGTGCATGCCAGGGAGGCATTTCACTGAAAATTGATGAGATGGCTCTCTATCGCAAGCAAAAGTCGCATGCGGTCGTAGGCTACTCAGATTCTTAGGTTCAAGCTTAGGCCATTGCAGGTTGATTGCTTCTGGGCTTATGCTTCTGCACCGAACTCGGCCCTTCCCCTCGTCAGTGCCTTCATGGCTTGAAGCCACGCTACATGTTGGCTCCTGGCCATTCACAGACACTACCCGCCTGAGCCCTTTCCATTGCGCAGAACGCTCCAGCACTCCAAGAACAAATGATTTCAGGAACGACTATCTTTTTGCCACAGGTGCCTCTTATGATTTGTCCGGAAGACAGCCGTGGGAGAAGGCCTTCTTCGCCGGTCAGCGGCTCTGCTCAGCTTCGTGGGTAGCTGAGCTGCTATGCTTAGCTAAGCTTAGCTATGCCTAGCTATGCTTTTCTAACTTGACAGCTTAGCCATCAATCTTATAAGGTGCTTGGAGCTTCATCCTGGCACTGACCATTCTTGAGACCAGCAACCCACCGTTGCGGATGATCGCCTCGGTTGGTCGAGTCGCTTGCGCACCCATGAGGTATCGCGTGGTGAAAGCGATGTCCTCCTTCCACCGCTTGGCGTCGATATCAAGGACCCGGAACTCGTGCATGGGATTTTCAATGTTTGCCGTACGGCAGAACCCCCACAAAGTGGAGTGGAAAGGAGTTCGTATACCGGTCACAGAGGAAATATTCTGGGTGGATGCAAGAACCACATCCATGGTAACCACGGGTTCGATGACTTGCAAGGCCTGAACCAATCGAATGGCCACATCTACCACTTCCAAGGGCGTCATGTTGTTCAGTCTCGTCACATCGAAGATCACAGAAGCACATGCCGAGACTTCCATCGCTGCTTGGAGTGAACTTGACACCAACAAACGCCCATTCATCAAGTTGGCAAAGAAGGGCGTAACCTCACGCTTGGCACGGCAGGCGGCCAGTTGTTGCATGAGACGCTTATCTCTCAGTTCACTTGCTACGAAGATCTTCCGTGGTCCAGATCCAGAAGCTCTTTTCTCACCAAAATGTTTGGGATCTTGAGTTTCTGAAGGGACCCAGACATACTCGAAAACCACCTGTTCTTCCATAATTGTTTTGATGTATTCGTCTCTTTGCCTCTGCTCTTCAGTCATGTCTTTGGCAACTTCCTTTCCGGCCACTCCGTCGAAATGCGCCACACTTTCTGCAGCTTGTTTCGACAGAGCTTCTTCGATTTGCTGATCATTCTGACCCAAGCTGCGAAGCAACTTCCGCACCATGCTCTTGCCATGTTCGTCGCCAGCTTGAGCGAAAAGCTTCGCAGCCTTTAAGGCAGCTGCTACAGCCCCAGCATGGTCCTTAAGCAAAAGCCGACAGTTCGAAGCAGTCTGGAGTGAAATCGCTTCACCACGCAGATCGCACAATTCCTGAAAGAAGACCTGACTCTTCTGAGCACAGTCTAATGCGCTACTTGGGTCAGGTCTTTCTTGCAACAACAAACAGGTGGCCAGACCGTGCAAGGCAGTGGCCTCCGCCTCGGTCGCTTTCTGTGCACCGAAAAGGGACACCGCCTCCTTGAAACAAAGAAGACCTGCTGAAGACCGCAGTTGCATTTTCCCCGCAAAGAGCCAAGACATGCCTTGTGACATGGGATGAAGCGACTCCTCGCATACTTCCGTTGCAAGCGCCAAAGCCTCACTAGAACTCTTCAACTTCATGACCAAGAAATCCACAAGGCTCAAGCGACCCTGGTCATCCATCTCGGGTTGCAGAACTTTTCGCAGCAAGTCGAGATATGGCAAGTGTTGGAGTTGAGGGTTCTTTTCGGGATTTCCGTTGGAATCCTCAATCTCCTTAGCAATCACCCCGGCTGCAGCAGTATCCTCCCGAAGGAGGTGTGCAAGTTCTTGAGTTCGAAGCACAGAGATTAAATGCTGAGAGTGATGCTTTCGAGCCAAGGTCACGGCCTCCTTGATGTGCCTCAAAGCTCTGTGGGTATTATCCCTGTGCAGGTGCAGAATGGAAAGGTACTCCATGAGCCCAACTTTTTCATCTAAATCTTCGCAACTAGAGAGCATCTCTTGAGCTGCATCTAGCCGCGCATCACTTGCAAATTCATCTCCGCAATCCTTCAAAGCTAGGCTTGGGGCAGCTGCGATGGCTTTCAGTTTTAAGACCAAAGTCAGGCCATTCTTCGCTGCACGTCCACGGAAATAAGCAAAGGCTTCAGGGAGCACTCGAGAGGTATGAAGTTCTGGTCCCTTCATGGCCAGCCGGCCCAAACGCTCGAGCCAATCGACCTCGTAATCACGTTGAATTCCATGAAGCCCGCAACACTTCGTGTCACTGATCTCAACATGTTCAACACGAATAGTCACGAATTCTCTGCTCAACGTGAAAAAGGTTCACATATTCAAAAGACTGGAATCTTGGACGGGATAATATCTGTCGAATAGGAACAAGGACGCTACTAGGGGCTCCTGGCCCTACTACTAGGAACAAGGACGCTAGTAGAAACAAGTGCATCGCTACTAGTAACAAGTGCCACGCTACTAGGAGCAAGGACGCTACTACCAAGGTTTCTCAGATTTCCATCGCCTGGATCGTCACTGGCTCTAAGGTCCGGAAGTCAGGCATCAGGACCCGTGGAGTGCCTCCGATGCACTTATTCCTAGTAGCTTCTTGTTACTACTAGTAAGGCACTTGTTACTAGTA